GGGGCCAGCATGCTATGGAGGTGGGCGCCAGGTTTAAAGAGCCACCACCTGTGCAATTCAGAGGCCGCCTCCTGACGGGCACCGCATGCTGTGAATCCACCTCCTCCTGAATCGAGCTGTCAGGGCAGGAGCGCGGAAGCCCGGCCTGACGGCTCTGGACACTTCTCTCAGCTGACCGCGGTCTCACGCAGAAGCTCTGGTCAGCTCGGGAACTGCAAAGATAACATGTGGCAGGCTTCCCACTTACAGCCTCGAGGCACGGGAATGGACCCTCGACTGCCCACAAGGGACAGGAGAAGCAGATGGCAGGTGAGGTGGCCCTCAGTGCTCAGGAGGGCAGAGGCGAAGGGGGCGAAGGCCCCACTTTACTGACTGGACTTAGCCCAGGGAGGACGTCACCAGGAGGCACGGGGGGGCTAGGCCGATGTGTCACCGAGGGGCTTTCCAAACACACCCCTGCTCCGGTTACATTTTTTCTGATCAGGTTAGGCAGTGGTATTTCTCAGGCCTCCGTGAGCCTTCAGCACACAGTTCTAACTGATCATTTAGCCAAGGGCACCCCAAACAAGCAGTTCATCTGATACTGATTCTAAGCTGGGTTTACTGCTCAAAAAGACCCCCCAAAGGCGAATTCATTCCAACAACGCTCCCTGTCCTCAGCTTAATAACAAAGTGTTGTATTTTCTTGAACATTACTCAAAATTGATACGGAACTGCCCCCATTTCCACTTTCAGTTAAATATTCTATAAAACTGAATCCCAGCTGACAGTATCTTCAGGCCACTGAGTATCAGACATTAGCTGGCGTGGGGACAGGAGACAAAAATCACTACTGCACACTGATCCCACGGGCTCTTTTCTTTGTCATCAGGTCCAGTGTCTGGTTATCTAGGGCCAGTACCAAAAAGGGAAGGCTCCCTCTCTAAGGGGTTTACAGAAGGTCTGAACTGAACAACCTGTTCTTTGTTCATAAAATAGTCACTCTAATACCCAGAGAGTGAGGGACACTGGATGAGGTGAACAGTTTGCTAATGTTCTGTTAACTGTAATACAAAATTAGGGACAAAATGGAGGCACCGACTGCCCGTGTCAAGACGGCCTGTGTTGACAGACAACTTTCCCTCTCGGTCCACACCCACTGCTGCGCCAAGCATCTCAAGGAAACAGGTAATAGGACTTCTCGGATTCCGATCTTTCAAACGAACTGACTCCTAGGGCCCTGCAGGCAAGCCGCTTCATTCTTGTTGGGTCTTGGTTTGTAAGCCAGTAAGTTTTGCAGAAGGATTTCCTGTTAGGCTTCAGGAAGGGAATCAAATAGAATGAACCCCCAGGAACAGAGTCCCCCAGCTCATTGGGGTGGGAGGGGTTTGCAAGGGGCTCCAGGCCATGACCTGAGAGCTCAAGGGCCTTGTGCTTGCAAAGGTGCTCTGCTGCTGCCGTCCTGAAGTTCTTGGTGATTTTGTCCTTGACCTTGCGTTTTGTGCTTCAAGTTTGCTAGGACCAAGGGGCATGCACATGGGAGGCCAGGGCAACTCCGAGGGCGCACAGGGCGTGCGGGACCCCCACGGCGAGTGGGCGGGGAGCTGGCTGCCCAATCTGAACCAGAACGTGCTGTGAACGCACAGAGAAGGCGCTGGTGTCCTAAGACACGTGAGCAACCCAAGAGCCCTACATATCCTCAGCTGGGTCACTTCCCTGCACTAGCCAACAATGTCCTCTAAAAAGGATGACACAGAAGGAAAGAGAGAAACAGGAAGACCCCCAGCTCCTTTTCTGGTCGTCCTCCTGACTCGTCTGCGCACTGAGGGTAGTGTTGGTGCAGTGCGCTCGTAAGAGGGGAAGAAAAATAGGCAGGTTAGCAGTCTTTCCGCTGTTTCAGTGAGAACAAAATACATCTACGTGCAAGCTGTGAAATGTGAACTGTGTAATTTTGGTGATTCCATTCATGAGTTAAATGCTTTTATATTTTCACATAAAACTGGCATTGCACAATATAAAAATGATCAATTAATGCTAATCATTTAAACTTTTAACATTTCTTTACTTAAAATGACATTACATAGCAAATAAAAACCACCATGGCAAGTCAGAAAGACTGCAGGAGGATGGAAAAAGCATACTTTAGCATCTTTAAAGGCACTTTTCCTGCTTTTTGAATGGGGGGCCCCACATTTTCATTCTGCACGGGGACCCACAGGTTACACGGCCAGCCCTGGTTTCGGGGTGTCCAAGGTCTAACTGATCTCAGTGCTTACAGGGACTCACGGGGCTAAGGGTGGAGGAACCTACACTCCTCTGCGCCTGTTGCCCTGGCGTCAGGCAGCCTCGATGCTGTACCAGAATTAGAATGTTCGGGGGGGGGGGCCATGAGGTGAGAGAGTTAGGGCTCGCTTGGCTTCCTCTGGTCCAGCTCAGAAGACCATCTGGGCTGAAAGCTCACTCCTGTATCTGTCACCAACACCCTGACGGACGTGGCCATGCATACAGTTCTCAGGAACCTACGTTTACCACTGAGATCACTCTGAGTCCCTCTATTTGCTCTGGTGCCCTCTGCCTGGAAAGGGCCCCTGCTCCCTGGGGACAGTGCCTGGCCCGTCCCTCCAACCTCAGCCCCCTCTCGAGCTGTCCTGGGGAGCTGCCATGGTCTGTCTTCTCCTCACCTGCCTGCTTCCCACGTTCCCCAAGCCCCCGGTGCTGGGCTCGGCGGACCCTGCGTCCGCACTGACTGTTTGGTAAATGAATAATGTGAGGAGATACCCGCGATTGGGCTGTGTTGGGTTATGCAGCGTTGTTCAAAATTCAAACTGAAAACTTATCTCAGTGAAGTAGCGAATTCCAGACATTAGCTGCAACACAAACTAGTTTAGACTTTGGCCAAAGCGTTTTAACAAAATGCTAAAGGAGAAACTAATTATTAACAGTCTAGGCAGATATCTATAAATATTTAAAGTATTTAAAAGTTAGCAATTAGGAACAAAAATAAAAACACCCCCACCTCCCTTTTCTCTTATTTTTTTCCATTTTCCCTGACTTTTTTTCTTATTATACCTTTCAGTTCTGGTCTGAATATTAACCCTTTTGCAGGCAGAAATTAAAGAACAGAGCAGTTAAGTGACTGTAACGCTTTCCCCATTGATTACATCCCTATAAAAACTACAAATAGTATTTTTTCTTGTTTGAAATAATTAACTTGAATAGCACCAGTTAAATCTTCTCAAGGTATAAGACAAAAGAAAGTGTTTAACATTTTATAATGATCAAAATAGTAAGATTTGTTACTTTCTCTTTCTCAGTTTCTGCACTGTTCTCCTCCAAGAAGTCGACCTGGCTATCCAATGTGAACACAGCGTTTACTAACTCACTTTGGCATCAGGAGCCCTAAGCTGGCATCCGCCTTAGTCCAGTGTGCCTGCTTGAAAGGTTTAAAGTGATGCTGAATCCTGTCCTTTAAACTTTCACAAATACTGTTTCCCCCTAAACCTGATTATTCTGACGCCACATGAATTCTGATTTGAGAAGCAGTGTTCAACAACACGACAAAGCGTGGTTTCGTAATGAGGAGCCCCGTGAGTGGAGACAGTGACGTGACAAAAATCACAATGGTTGTATATAAAGCAGAATTTTCTTGTTTGCAAGTGGTTTTGCCTTGCCTTGGTCCAACGTGCTTGACGGATGCGCCCAGGCTCCTCCTAGTTGACACGCACGCTGACAAGCTGATGGCTAGAAAGCTCTTTCTCATTTCTGCCCAGAGCCTTTCTAACAGCACGTGAAATAAAAACTCCATGCTGAAGGCTGAACCGACACCAGCCGTAAGATTAAGTCTAAACTGCTGTGGCGATCACTGCAAAGGATGCCATCTCCCAAACACGGAAGCTGGAGGGGGCAGGCTGGAAGAAGGATGCTGCCCAGGCCCCCAGGGAGGGACCAGATGGGACCTAATAGCTCTTTTCTACTACTAATTTCTATGATAATTCCAAGTTGCCACATGGCATATGTATTTTTTTTTTTCAAGTCGAAAGACAGAATATCAGTCAATGAAGTGGCCAGGATTTTAATGAAAGGTATTTTTCATGAACTGTATCTATTCCCACATGATACTTCTCACTCACCCCCGCTCCCACCCGCCAGCAACACATCACTCACGGCGAGGCTGGGACAAGCACAGAGAGGGAGGTCAGAGGCAATGGGCTTACAGTCATCATCAATGCTAATTAGAAACACAGAGCTTCTGAGTTTTACTAGGAGGTCAGATGCCTTTCGCAGCAATTTTATGAAGTCACCTTAATTCCTTTTCCTCATAGTCAGAGGTCATGCCTGAATTTAAAGATCACAGCCTGCCAACTAATGTTTGAGAGAAAAATAAATCACAGAAGGGAAACTTACTGTTTTTAGGGAGAAAATCAGGAATCAGAGAAGGAGACACTAATTATTTGGGAAAACAACGACAGAATTTCTAGCCATTCTCACTGGTGAGCGGGTTCAAATTCAACTTTGTTGAGGACGCCTTCCCCCGTCCCCCCGACCAGATGCAACGTCTGCCTCCTCGGGCCTCCCAGGACACTGCCTGTGCTTCTCTGGGGCACCTGTCCCGGTCTGATTTATCAGTGTCCTTTCACTGGAGGCGGGGTTCTGGTAGGCACTCTCAGTGACCCCATTACATTTGCTCAGCCTCCCACCTTATCCATACAACAGACGGCAACAGACAGGGATGGAGGAGGGGGAGCGACACCCGAGGAAGTGTGACCCTCACGGCTTCTCAGCACAAACCTGTGTGACTTAATTATGAAAATAAACACTTCCTAAGTTTGACACCACACGATACGATTAACATAAACTAAGAAGTGGTCTGAAAATCACACTATTTTTTTTTCAATGCAGACTGGAAAATAATTCTTCCTTCCCTCTTCAACCCAGTTGTTACGGCTCACCTCTCTGGAGGAAGTGCCAGGGATCCAGGTTCCAGGACGGCTGACACATCACACACTTACGTCAAAGGATACAAGCTCTGGTACAGGGGGATGAGGCACTTCACGGCCCTGCTGGCGTTGATGCACGTGGCACAGATAAGGCTTGGCAGTAGCTTCCCGCTCACGATGGCACCATCAAACAGGGGCCCAAAAAAACGGAACCTGTTGATTCAAAACAAAACAACCAACTTAATTTTCAGAAACTAGGAAAAGTCAAACCAAGGGCAGACAGGAGGACAGCTGCTTGATGTCTCTGATCTGTCACGACCCTGCAGGCTGCCACCCACAGATGGATGCCGGACGTAACAGGACACAGGTCGAGGGCTTTCAGATCCAGCAAAACAGGATTTTGCTCCACAAAGTTCCTCTGCTGTGAATCCTCTGCCAAACTTCTTCTTTTTTTAAATGAGGATGCCTATTACGTATGTATGTATGTATGTATGTGCTTATTTATTTATTTAAATTGAAGCACAGTCAGTTACAACGTGTCAATTTCTGGTGTACAGCATAATGCCCCAGTCATGCATATATATACATATATTCGTTTTCATACTCTTTGTCATTAAAGGTTATTATAAAATACTGAATATAGTTCCCTGTGCTATACAGAAGAAATTTGTTTTTTAATCTATTTTTATATATAGTAGTTAATATTTGCAAGTCTTGAATTCCCAAATTCGAGGATATACTGCATCACCAGATACAATATACCCTCCAAATCAATTATATTTTTGAATGTTAGCAACCAAGAATTGGAAAATGATGTCTAAAAATACTATTTCATAATAGCATCAAAACCATCAAATACCTAAAAATAAATCTGACAAAAGAAATGTAAGACATCTATACTTGACATTACCAAACATCACTGAGAAACGTTTAAGACAACCCAAATAAATGGAAAGATGTACTATGTTCATGGATTGGAAGTTTCCATATTGTTAAAATGGCAGTTCTTCTGAAATTGAATTATAGATTCAGTACAAACCAAATAACAGTTTTAATGAGCTGCTTTTATAGATTTCGACATGCTGATTCTAAACTTACATGGAAACGAAAAATAACATAAATTGGCCAAGACAATATGAACAATACATATTACCTGGTTTCAAGGAACACTATAAAACTATAATAATTAACATAATATAATACTGCAACCAGGATAGACAAATATATCAGTAGAACAGAATACACAGCCCAAGAATAGAGCCACACATCAACGTAACTGATTTACAGTAAAGGCAGCACATCAGTTGTTTGGGGAAAGGAAAGTCTGACACTGAAACAACTGGAGAGTCACAATGAAAAGTGAGCTTTGGTCTCTACCTCATACCACACACAGAACTGAGATGGCTTATAGATCAAAATATTAAAGCTAAAACCACAAAGCTTCTAGAAGGAAACATACAAAAAAAAAATTACAACCTTGGGTGAGGCAAGGAATTTTTAGGGTACAAAGGGCACCAATCATAAAAAGAAAACAAAAATTGGACAATAAAATTTTTCAAAATTCTGCTTCTCATTGAAGTTAAAAAGGCAAGTCACATATGATCCACCAAACTGGACTGTTCCTAAATGTCCATCAATAGGAGAATGAATCACAATTTGCAGCACATTCATCCAATAGAATATCCCACAGGAATGAAATGAGCAAATCACAGCTACATGTAATACCATGGGGATGACTCCAATATAATGCTGAGTGAAAGAAAGAGACAGGAAAAGTCCAAACTATATAATTGCATTAATAGAAAACTCAAAAGCAGGCAGAACTAATCCATGACGACAGAAGTCAGACTAGTGACCATTTTTTCGAGGGATTAGTGACTGGGCAGAGGCATAAGGGGGATTTCTGGGAGCTGCTAATATCCTATGTTTAGATCCGGGTGATATTAAATTGTCTGCTTTGAAAACATTCATCAAGCTGTACATTTACAATTTGTGCCTTTTTCTTTATTAATGTTATGTTTCAAAGAAAAACATTTTAAAAAAAAATTAGCAAGAATATAGAAGATTTGAACACCACAGCTGACAAACTCACCCTAATGGATACACACACAATACAGCTGCAGAAGGCATTCTTTTCAAGCATGCACAGAATTTTTTTTTTAATTGACCGTATTCCAGGCCAAGGATATAGCCTGTGGGGCCCAATTCCAGCTTGGCGCCTTTTCTGTATGGCCTGCAAACTAGGAACAATTTTTAAATTTTCAAAAAGTGTTGAGAAAAAAAAATTCTGTGACATGATAATTTTATGAAACTCAAGATCAGTCCAGAAATAAAATTTTACTGGAATACAGCCACACTCCTTCTGGATCGCCCGTACCTGCTCTCACACAGCAACGACAGAGCTGAGCAGCTGTGACAGACACCACGTGGGCCACGAAGCCCAAAATGTTTACAACCTGATCCTTCAAAGGAAAAGTTTGCTGAGCCCTGTTCTAGGCCACAGAGCAGGTCTGCAAAAATTTCAAGGGGTTGAAATCATACAATCCATATTCTGTCCCCAAAGAGCTACTACGTTAAAATCGAAAACAAAAGGGTAACTGACACAAATCTCTACATTTAGAAATTTTAGAACACTTCTAAATTGCTCAGGGGTCAACAACCACCAAGAAACTCTCAGGGGTCAATAAAAGCATTGAAGTAGAAATTTTAAAAGGCATCCATCTCAAGTAGTATTGAAAAGCCAAAAGAATAAAATAAACTCACAGAAAGTGAAGAGAAGGGGAAGAACAACAAAGACAAAAGCAGGCACAAGTGAGACGGAACGAGCACACAGGGAGAGGACAACCGACATCAAAAGCCAGTTCTTTGACAAAAGTCTAACACAATTAACTGACAGATCTTTGGCAAGATGAGCAAAGAGCAGAAGAAGGTACAAATAAACAATATTAAGAACAAAAGCGGGGCACAGCTGCAGGTGCTCAGGACATGCACACAGCCTCACGCGCGTCTGCTTGGGAACTTACATGAAACTGCTGGATTCCCAGGAACTGCCCCTTCCTCCTGCTGACCCACGTGTAATTTTTTTCTTCTTTCCTACTATGCTGGTCTCTGATTTTAGTTTTTAGTACTTAACGGAGCGGCACCCGTCCCAGAAGAAGGCACTATGACTCCCCTCGGTTAGAACTGGGAACGGCCACTGGTTAAAGGCTCCAGAATCACTGGGCACCAAGGCAGAGAAGCAGCTGCAGGGCGGCCCAGGTAGGCGGCCCTGCTGTGCGGTGGCAGAAGGGGCAGGGGTGCTGCTGGGTGCCCCCCACCCCCGCTCCCACGCTCCAGGCAGATTCATGGAAGACGACATCAAGTATTCGGCCTAGTCACAACCTCAGCTCATCACTCGGCCCCTGTTGGCCCTGGATATTCACAACTAACTCAAGCTCTGAGTGACTCAGAACGTCCCTCCCCAAGCACGATGACCACACCCCAGAGCTGAACAGGATTCTCCGAAGCTGGTGACAAACTAGATTTCCTTACCAGCTACAAGTTGAGGGATGCATGTGGAGTCCCCACCATGTGCTCCGTGACTAAAGGAAGTGCAGCTGGGAGAGGAGACACAAACCTAGAGAGCACAGCCCTGAAGATTTTCTCCTCAGGCCTGGGCCCGGCAAGGCACTGCCATACCCAGGTCCTCCTGGCCGGCTGCCGGGAGGGCAGAGAGCCTGCATCTGCAGAGACGTTCAGGTTGCACCATCGCTCGGCACAAGGATGCATCTGGTTGTTGGAGCAACAGGGGAGAATTCTTGGGACGCAGAAGGTGAATTGTGGGAATTAATTAATCTTTCAAGGACTCAGTGCAGACATCCTGACCTCCCAAAGCAGGATAATGAACAACCGAGCTCTGTTCTGGTTCCTCATGGATAACCTGCAGCTTCCGGAACTGGGACACCACCATGAGACCCGGCCACACTGAAAGCTATGAATGCAGTGTATGAGGGCGGTCAGTCACACATCCCCTGTTTAAAAACTGAGGGCACCTGGTCATCACAAAGATGTGGCCATGATTTTCGTGTCCAGCTTTTTGGCACTGCCTGTATCGTGTGACAGGTGGGGGACTTAACCAAAGGCCTAGGATTCCAGTATCTGCTGGACTCCACACGTACGCCCATAAAGTGTACACAGGATGCGTGCACAGAACCACAAAATATAAACAGCCCTTTGTTTACGAGCCTCTGCACACAGTTATGAAAACTAACACCTTTCTACGCTTAAAGAGACTGAGACTACAAAGATTCAAAGTGTGGACTTGGCTTGGCTGCCCGGAAACCAGGTCTCCTTGGATAAATTACTGTACTTGCTCCAAGAGCGGACGCTGAGCCCAGGAGCAGTGCAGTCGGCCCTACTGTCCTCACAGAGCGGCTGAAATTCAAACGCTGTAGTAATCCCTACAGTGTGTTACAAACAGCACTGCCCGAACGAGGGGCCAAGTAACAAAATCGTATGATTTGAGATAAGGGTGAAAAGTTTAAGAGAAATATAAGGTATGTTCTGAGAAAGAACGTCTATTTCTCTATATTTCAATCTCTGCGTTGTATAAATACATCTCTATCAGAAGATAATTTTTGGAAAAAATGGATAATCAGAGGACTATCAAATTTTGCCTGAAAACTCCCCTTCCCTGAATTAGCTTCCTTTCTAGCCATACTATCAGTAACTTTTTATTATTGTTTTTGTCCTTGTTTTTCTAAGAACACCCACTGCTATCTCAAAGTCTCTAATTCAGCCGTTCCTTACTTATTTGTCGGCTGTCTGGCTCACTAAGGCTTAGACTCCAGGAGCACGCGGCCCCCAGGCCCGACCCAGCGCTGGCACGAGGCGGCTCCAGCAGGTGTGCTAGATCCACGCGGCCCGCAGGACGGAGTGAAGGCCTCCAGCTCCTGGGGCTCCGACCGCTGGGTGGTCACCAAGTCTGTGGCCCCTCCCCACGTTCCTGGAGCAAGCTCTGTCCCGACCGTCTGCCTGCTGCTTCACGGATGTGCCCAGGAGGGAAGAGTGAGAGGGTGGCAGGGCTGGTCCTGGGGTCCGGAGCAGGCTTCTGCTGCCTGAGCTCTTCTTCTGCTTGGTGGGTTTGAGAACCGGGCTCCGCAGTTAAAACAGAGATGTAAGAGCTGCAAAGACTGGCTAAAGCGGTTCTGAGACCGGTGCCTCCGGCGCAGATG